GTACTATGGGAGGTAGAGCTTCAGTTATCATGCCTGCTCGTGGTACCTACAGTCTCTAAATGTACTATGGGAGGTAGACCTTCAGTTATCAGGCCTGCTCGTGGTACCTACAGTCTCTAAATGTACTATGGGAGGTAGAGTCTTCAGTTATCAGACCTGCTCGTGGTACTTACAGTCTCTAAATGTACTATGGGAGGTAGAGCCTTCAGTTATCAGACCTGCTCGTGGTACTTACAGTCTCTAAATGTACTATGGGAGGTAGAGCCTTCAGTTATCACCTGCTCGTGGTACCTACAGTCTCTAAATGTACTATGGGAGGTAGAGCCTTCAGTTATCAGGCCTGCTCGTGGTACAGTCTCTAAATGTACTATGGGAGGTAGAGCCTTCAGTTATCAGGCCTGCTCGTGGTACAGTCTCTAAATGTACTATGGGAGTAGAGCCTTCAGTTATCAGGCCTGCTCGTGGTACAGTCTCTAAATGTACTATGGAGGTAGAGCCTTCAGTTATCAGACCTGCTCGTGGTACCTACAGTCTCTAAATGTACTATGGGAGGTAGAGCCTTCAGTTATCAGACCTGCTCGTGGTACCTACAGTCTCTAAATGTACTATGGGAGGTAGAGCCTTCAGTTATCAGGCCTGCTCGTGGTACAGTCTCTAAATGTACTATGGGAGGTAGAGCCTTCAGTTATCAGACCTGCTCGTGGTACAGTCTCTAAATGTACTATGGGAGGTAGAGCCTTCAGTTATCAGACCTGCTCGTGGTACAGTCTCTAAATGTACTATGGGAGGTAGAGCCTTCAGTTATCAGGCCTGCTCGTGGTACAGTCTCTAAATGTACTATGGGAGGTAGAGCCTTCAGTTATCAGACCTGCTCGTGGTACCTACAGTCTCTAAATGTACTATGGGAGGTAGAGCCTTCAGTTATCAGACCTGCTCGTGGTACTTACAGTCTCTAAATGTACTATGGGAGGTAGAGCCTTCAGTTATCAGACCTGCTCGTGGTACCTACAGTCTCTAAATGTACTATGGAATTAATATGACATCCATTTCATATTAATAAATGTTACTTATTGTAAAACATCAAGGTAGTTCTTGACCTTCCTTGTCTCGTAGGATTAAGGGGATCATTGTTGTGGACCACATGCTGGCAAGTCCCTCCTCCCATCAATCATTAACATGGCCCGCCTCCTGTCCGGGACTCATATTAGGACTTTATTGCCTGTTATGTTTTCCTCCATACACTACATTTTCATGTTCAGAGTGTGGGCACACTGTACATTCCTGCCGATGGTCCAGCTGGTGAATGGGAGGGGGGGTTGGAGATTTCTCAGCTTATTACAGGGCAGATTAGCTGTAAGGAGATTAGCACTGCAGGTTAACAGGCGCCTGAAAACACTTTTTCTCAGCTTCAATATTTGATGCTCCTGAAGCGTGGAAGGACTCGGTTCCTCGAGATGACAGTAGTCGAGGGATGACAGACCTCCGGATGTCTGGGGACTTCAAGGTAACCAGGTAAAACTTTATATTCTAAGGAGGGGGAGGGGAAGTGGATCTAAGATGGCAGCTGCCACGCTGAAGTAATTGTCACTTTCATTTGTTCTGAAGTCACAGTTTATTGTAACTGTTTAATATAAAGCTCTTTAATGACTAATTTGATCAGGTTGGATCCTGTGACCTCTAGGCTCTCTGCAGCTCAGTTTGAAACTGTTTCCTGCTGATCAGTTTGTGTTTCTGTAGTAAACGATTCGACTGCTCAAAGATGTTCTCTGAGACAGACGCTCTTCTCTGAAGAGTGTCAGAGAAAAGTAGAGGAGTGGTAGGTCTTCACGAGAGAACATCTTTGACTGAGCTCAGAAGCAGACTGATTAAACTGAAGCAGCGGTAAACTGGTGAACATGCTTTTATGATTCTATGACTCTTGTGACTCTTGATTAGGTTCAGAACTTTTATTAAACTTTGATCTTCTTTCCGCAGCACTCAGGTCCTGGCCGTGTCTTTGAGTTCAGTGAAGAGAACCTAAAATACCTCAGTAAGCCTCTTATGACGCTGTGCAGAGGGCAGCCAGCAGCCAGCAGCCGTCTCCCTCTCCTTGTTTTCTCCTGCTTTACTCTGACGAGAGGCCCACTCTGAACCCTGACCGGCTTGACCATCATTAAGATAGGACCTTCTGAGCGTGTGCAGTAACAGGGGAGGAGCTGACTGGAGGAAACCACAACCACCCTCTTCATAGACCTGAACTTTAAAGCCCCCTCTGATGATCTGGACATTAAATAGAAGAAACGGAAAGGATGCCCGGGATGTATTTAATATTTCTATTTGACGGAAACATGCAGTCATAAGAAAATGGAGACTGGAGGGAATTAGATGATCATGATGAAGTGACTTAGGCTCTAATTTAGGGAGGAAATCAGAGATACAGGGATGACTATAGTACAGCAGTGCTGAGAGTAAACAGAGATCTCATTATGTAGAAATAAAGAAGAGCAGAAAAATTGACATGTTTTTGGTACAAGGCAGGTTTCTACATGCAGCACCTGGTGGTCGCTCCCGGCTCTGCACTTGAAGGCCCTCCAGTGTGCGCCATGTTTTTGGCATTTTGGACGTGAGACACACCTGATGTGATCTGGTTCCGAAAGCACAGGACTGACATGGCGGTGGGTAAGTTGACCTTCACCAAGGCAGAGAGAGAGAAGCTTGCAGAGGTCCTCTGGCTGCTCAACTGGATCTCTGTGCTGACCGGGGCCATTCTCATAAGCCTTGGCGTGTTCCTCAAAGTAGAGATTCAGAAATGGCAGGAAGTGATGTCAGACCAGGGGATCCTCTATGTGCCAAATACTCTGATCACCACGGGCCTGGCTGCCTGCTGCATCAACTTCCTGGGCGGGAAGATCTGCCTAGACTGTGCCGACACCAACAAGTTCCTGCGCTGGAAGCTGGTGATGATGCCATACGTCATCTGCACCTTCTTCTTCACTTCCTGTGTCCTGGCCGGGGCGCTCATGTGCTACAGCATCCGCAGCCAGCTGGAGGAGTCCATATTCCTGGGACTGAGGAATACCATGCGCTTCTACAAAGACACAGACACGCCGGGCCGCTGCTACCTGAAGAAGACTCTGGATCTGCTGCAAATCCAATTTGAGTGCTGTGGTAACACCGGATACCGGGACTGGTTCCACGTCCAGTGGATCAGCAACCGTTACCTGGACATGACCAGCAGCATCGTGGTGGAGTAAGTGGGACTCATGGGGATTAGTTAGGATCAGTAAAACCCTACCTCTGTTTAGACCCCCACTGAGGATCAATGAAAACACTTAGAAATGTCAGGCAGCTCATCTTGGTTCATCTGGGTTCTAATGAGTTCACCTAGGTCCTACTGGATTCTACTGGGTTCATCTGGGTCCTACTCAAACCAAATGTAAACAACTTAGTGGATTTCCATATTTGGAGGTAGATTTAAAGGATTTGATCTGACTCTCGTGTTTCAAAGATCATGTTTCATTAAAAAAGTTCTGATTGAGCACCAATATTATTTAGAGTCTGCAGAACGATCTGAACCTTTGTGGAATTAGTGTGGGGGGGTGGACTAATTTGATTGTGAGTGAACAAAGCTGATCCATGATATGACTTTTCTAAACAAGAACATAAAAGGCAAACCAAGATACTGCTTATGTCTGTTCTATCAGCTCTGTACTCTGGTCATTTTCAGAGCTTTAACGGTTCCCTTTAACAATTATTTTAAACGCACCATCACAGATTGCGCAGACTATCTTTCTGGATTGTAGTGGATCCCAAAGTTTTGGAATGCAGCCCTGGACACTCAAGAACCAACCAACTGACTGTGTTGTGGTAGAAACCGATGTTTCCAATGGGTTGAAGTTTATCCGTTCAAGTACTTAGGCTGCAGGTAGATTCTAGTGAATGGAAACTCGAGGGTCAACTTACATCCCAGAGCAGGTGGGTCCTACTGTGGTTTTATTGGACTACTAGTGGCTTCAGGTGGACTGTAGTGGATCCATGTGGATTCTAGTGGATACAGACCTGGCGGTGGAACCCAGTGGGATTGATGGGTTTTGCAAAGAAACTGCAGAGATAAAATGAGAAAACGTCACTGATAGAACAGAGCACAGTGTCACTAAAGAATTCCTTTGAATTTGTGTGAAAGTGTTTTAGGACTCTGAGGTGTTTTAGGCCTCGGAGGTGTTTTAGGTCTCTGAGGTTTTACAGACGCGTTTGTGTTGGATTCAGACATGATCACCAGGTGTCCCAGACCAAAACGCCTCAGAAGATCTGCTTTGATGTCCATTAAATCTGAGCGTTACAGCTTCAGTGAGAGAGCAAGTATCACTGACTGCAGATGGAGGCCACTGGTCCTCTGGTCCACTGGTCCCCTGGTCCAATGGTCCCATAGTCCACTGGTCCAATGATCCACTGGTCCTCTGGTCCACTGGTCCCCTAGTCCACGGGTCCTTTGGTCCACTGGTCCACTGGTCCTCTGGTCCTCTCATCCACTGGTCCTCTGGTCCACTGGTCCACTGGTCCTCTGGTCCTCTGGTCCACTGGTCCAATGATCCACTGGTCCTCTCGTCCACTGGCCCAATGGTCCCCTGTAGTGAAGGCTGAAAATGCTGGGGTCAAAGGTCAGGGGATTTATTATGCTTAAATAACAGAGTTCAGCTAAGGTTGAAGAGACTTGTTATAACCTGTCTGCAGGATTGTCAGACTGGCACTTTGGTTCATCAAAACCTTGTTGTGTTTTTATTTGAAGACTATGAAGCATTTCAAATTCAAAGTCTGAGGAACTTTCTCTCTGACTCAGAACATCAGCAGTACAGGTCAGAAGTGTTACAAGGAGTGGTAGAAACAGCACCAGTAGTTGCAGTACCAGTAGTACTGGTTGTAGTGGTAGTAATATTTGAAGTACTCCTCTAACACTGGCTGCCTGCTCCTCCCTGCAGCCGTCTGAGGAGTAACGTGGAGGGACGGTACCTGATGGATGGCGTTCCCTTTAGCTGCTGCAGCACGCTGTCCCCCCGACCATGCATCCAGCAGCAGATCAGCAACAGCTCGGCTCACTTCAACTACAACCAGCAGAGCCAGCAGCTCAACCTGTGGAGGAGGGGCTGCCGACAGGCCCTGATGGACCACTACACTGGCATAATGCAGTCCATCGGTCTCACCGTGCTGCTCATCTGGCTGTTTGAGGTACTGACCCAACACAAAAGGGGCATAGGGTATGTAAGGAACTAATACTTCAGAAGAAAATACTACAGCTAATACCTCTTCTGATGACTGATTATTGGTTGGTTGGTTATGGATCCATTCCATAAAACTGTTTGGATTGAAGCTAGATCCTGGTGTTGTACCTTGTGGATCTTCAGCAGAGTCTAGTTTAGACTCTGTTCTGAAACAGATGCTTGAAGTGCGCCATCTACTGGTGCAAGAGTTACATAATATTCCTTTATTTTCATTAACATAGTCAGCTCTTCTGTTCTCACCAAACACTCCGTCTTTTTCTCCTCTCAACAGCTGCTGGTTCTGACGGGGGTCCGTTATCTGCAGACCGCCATGGAGAATGTTATCCGGCTCGGTGATCCAGACTCAGAGTCTGACGGTTGGATTTTGGAGAACAGCCTGGCAGAAACCGCTCGCTCCAACTTTAACATCATTAAGAATCTGGGGAAATGTTACCAGATCGACGATGACCCCAACATCAACGTCCCTACCGCCAGTGCCGAGCAGGAGGTGCCATCCCGGGGGGTCCACATCCCTGTGACCAGCTAGAACCTGAAGAGTTATGGATGCCCTGAAGGCCGGGACCAGCCGAACACCTCCAGAGCCTCAGGTGATGCTCAGGTGATGAGTCTCAAAGAGCTCTAGCTCCAGGATGCTGAGAGGCTCCTGAGGAGAGGAAGCTCCATCGCTCCCTCCTGATGTGAAGTCCTCATGCTCCGCATCAAAGTTACAAAATGAACACAAACAGTTCAGACTTACATAAAAGCTGAGATGACCTGAGAGCAGACGAGCCGAGGACACTAACTGGGACCCTGATATGTCTGTGGTGTGTGACTGTATTTTTTAACCAGCAGATGTGAAACACAGGGTGCTAAAAATTAGCTAAAGTGTTTGTTTAGATTCACGTTCAAACAGAAACTTTAAAGTCCCCCCAACATGATGGTCATGTTCTGACTTGTGACTCGGTGGACCAGCATATGTGACTCAACCTGGTGTGATACCAGGTCCAATAGATCAGGACAGAGCTCGTGTTCTGTGTCACACTGGGCTCTGATTGGATCATTACATTGAGCACTGAACATAATAAAAGTGTCTCACTGACCTGTGTGTTTGTTCACTTCCTCCTAAGTGTGTCCACTTCCTGTTTCCCCTGAGTTTCCTGTTGTTTCCAAAGCAGCTGTTAGACCACCGAGGACTGGTCGACCTAGTTAGAATAGTTAGAGTAGTAAAAGTTAGACATAAAAGTTCTCATAGAAACAATAGTTATAGATGGTTATATTTTATATACAGTATAGTGGAATAAAGTTACAATTGCAATATAAGTTATACTGGTTATAAAAGTTTTTATAGATATTCATGAGAATGATTAGAGTTATAGACACTATGAATAGTTATGATCGTTGCAGATATAATTGTTAAACACACACAAACACACACTCACAAACACACACTCACAAACACACACGCACAAAGATAAAGTGAGGTGTATCTGTTGTTCATGTTTTTAGCCTGCAGAGGGAGACACAGACCCACTGAGCTTTGAGCTGTCCATGGTGCTGAAATACTATCGCAACTACAGTATCACTACTACAATAGCACTACTATAACATCCATTCTACAATATCACAACTACAGTATCCCTACTACAGTATCCCTACTACAGTATCAATACTACAATATCAACACTACAGTATCACTACTACAATATCAGAACTACAGTATCATTACTACAATAGCACTACTATAACATCCCTTCTACAATATCACAACTACAGTATCCCTACTACAGTATCCCTACTACAGTATCAATACTACAATATCAATACTACAGTATCACTATTACTGTATCACTATTACAATATCACTATTACAGTATCACTACTACAGAATCACTATTACAATATCACAACCCCAGAATCACTACTACAGTATCACTACTTCAGAATCACTATTACAATATCTCTACTTCAGTATCACTACTACAAAATCACTATTAAACTATCACTACTACAGAATCACTATTACAATATCTCTACTTCAGTATCACTTCTACAAAATCACTATTAAACTATCACTACTTCAGAATCACTATTACAATATCTCTACTTCAGTATCACTACTACAAAATCACTATTAAACTATCACTACTACAGAATCACTATTACAATATCTCTACTTCAGAATCACTATTACAATATCTCTACTTCAGTATCACTACTACAAAATCACTATTAAAATATCACTACTACAGAATCACTATTACAATATCACTACTACAGTAAAAGCAATACAATGTCACTACTTCCATATCACTACTACAGCATCGCTACTTCAGAATCACTATTACAGTATCACTATTACAGTATCACCATTATAGTATCACTACTACAGTATCACTATTACAGTATCACTCCTACATAATCACTACTACAGAATCACTATTACAATATCGAACTACAGTATCACTACTACAGTATCACTATTACAGTATCACTACTACAGTATCACTACTACAATATCACAGTATCACTATTACAGTATTACTGATTCCCTGAATCAGTATTAAATTGGGAAAATAATAATTGCAATGCATTGATGAATTGATATTTTTAACCAGCCATGTACTACAGTATCAGTACTTTAGTATCACTTCTATAGTACCACTGAGTATTTCTATTTTATACCACTCCATACCTGTACTTTACCTGTGCTGCACCCTACCTGTGGTGTACCTGTACTGTACTTGTAGTATATCTGTAGTAAACATGTTCTGTACCTTGTGTTTACCTGCATTTTACCTGTACTTTACCTGTTCTTTATGTGAAGTGTACCTGTACTTTACCTGTTCTGTATGTGTAGTGTACCTGTTCTTTATGTGTAGTGTACCTGTTCTTTATGTGTAGTGTACCTGTACTTTACCTGTTCTTTATGTGTAGTGTACCTGTACTTTACCTGTTCTTTATGTGAAGTGTACCTATACTTTATGTGTAGTGTACCTGTACTTAACCTGTTCTGTATGTGTAGTGTACCTGTACTTTACCTGTTCTTTATGTGTAGTGTACCTATTCTGTATGTGTAGTGTACCTGTACTTTACCTGTTTTGTATGTGTAGTGTACCTGTACTTTACCTATTCTGTATGTGTAGTGTACCTGTACTTTACTTGTTCTGTATGTGTAGTGTACCTATTCTGTATGTGTAGTGTACCTGTACTTTACCTGTTCTGTATGTGTAGTGTACCTGTACTTTACCTGTTTTCTATGTGTAGTGTACCTGTACTTTACCTATTCTGTATGTGTAGTGTACCTGTACTTTACTTGTTCTGTATGTGTAGTGTACCTATTCTGTATGTGTAGTGTACCTGTACTTTACCTATTCTGTATGTGTAGTGTACCTGTACTTTACCTGTTCTTTATGTGAAGTGTACCTATACTTTATGTGTAGTGTACCTGTACTTTACCTGTTCTGTATGTGTAGTGTACCTGTACTTTACCTGTCCTGTATGTGTAGTGTACCTGTTCTGTATGTGTAGTGTACCTGTACTTTACCTGTTCTGTATGTGTAGTGTACCTGTTCTGTATGTGTAGTGTACCTGTACTTTACCTGTTCTGTATGTGTAGTGTACCTGTACTTTACCTGTTCTTTATGTGTAGTGTACATATTCTGTATGTGTAGTGTACCTGTACTTTACTGTTTTGTATGTGTAGTGTACTGTATTTACTATTCTGTATGTGTAGTGTACTGTACTTTATTGTTCTGTATGTGTAGTGTACCTATTCTGTATGTGTAGTGTACCTGTACTTTACCTGTTCGTATGTGTAGTGTACCTGTACTTTACCTGTTTTTATGTGTAGTGTACTGTACTTTACCTATTCTGTATGTGTAGTGTACTGTACTTTACCTGTTTTCTATGTGTAGTGTACCTGTACTTTTACCTATTTGTATGTGTAGTGTACTGTACTTTACTATTCTGTATGTGTAGTACCTGTACTTTACTGTTCTGTATGTGTAGTGTACCTGTACTTTACTGTTCTTTATGTGAAGTGTACCTGTACTTTACTGTTCTTTATGTGAAGTGTACTGTACTTTACCTGTTTTCTATGTGTAGTGTACTGTTCTGTATGTGTAGTGACCTGTTCTGTATGTGTAGTGTACCTGTACTTTCCTGTTTGTATGTGTAGTGTACCTGTACTTTACCTGTTTCTTTATGTGAAGTGTACTGTACTTTACCTGTTTTGTATGTGTAGTGTACCTGTTCTGTATGTGTAGGTACCTGTACTTTACTGTTCTGTATGTGTAGTGTACCTGTTCTGTATGTGTAGTGTACCTGTACTTTACCTGTTCTGTATGTGTAGTGTACCTGTACTTTACCTGTTCTTTATGTGTAGTGTACATATTCTGTATGTGTAGTGTACCTGTACTTTACCTGTTTTGTATGTGTAGTGTACCTGTACTTTACTTGTTCTGTATGTGTAGTGTACCTATTCTGTATGTGTAGTGTACCTGTACTTTACCTGTTCTGTATGTGTAGTGTACCTGTACTTTACCTGTTTTCTATGTGTAGTGTACCTGTACTTTACCTATTCTGTATGTGTAGTGTACCTGTACTTTACTTGTTCTGTATGTGTAGTGTACCTGTACTTTACCTATTCTGTATGTGTAGTGTACCTGTACTTTACCTGTTCTGTATGTGTAGTGTACCTGTACTTTACTTGTTCTGTATGTGTAGTGTACCTGTACTTTACCTATTCTGTATGTGTAGTGTACCTGTACTTTACCTGTTCTGTATGTGTAGTGTACCTGTACTTTACCTATTCTGTATGTGTAGTGTACCTGTACTTTACCTGTTCTTTATGTGAAGTGTACCTGTACTTTACCTGTTCTTTATGTGAAGTGTACCTGTACTTTACCTGTTTTCTATGTGTAGTGTACCTGTTCTGTATGTGTAGTGTACCTGTTCTGTATGTGTAGTGTACCTGTACTTTACCTGTTCTGTATGTGTAGTGTACCTGTACTTTACCTGTTCTTTATGTGAAGTGTACCTGTACTTTACCTGTTTTGTATGTGTAGTGTACCTGTTCTGTATGTGTAGTGTACCTGTACTTTACCTGTTCTGTATGTGTAGTGTACCTTTACTTTACCTGTTCTGTATGTGTAGTGTACCTGTACTTTACCTGTTTTGTATGTGTAGTGTACCTTTACTTTACCTGTTCTGTATGTGTAGTGTACTGTATTTACCTGTTCTTTATGTGAAGTGTACCTGTACTTTACTGTTTTGTATGTGTAGTGTACCTGTACTTTACCTGTTTTTGTATGTGTAGTGTACCTGTATTTACTGTTTTGTATGTGTAGTGTACCTGTACTTTACCTGTTCTTTATGTGAAGTGTACTGTACTTTAACCTGTTTTGTATGTGTAGTGTACTGTACTTTACCTGTTTTGTATGTGTAGTGTACCTGTACTTTACCTGTTTTGTATGTGTAGTGTACCTGTACTTTACCTGTTCTGTATGTGTAGTGTACCTGTACTTTACCTGTGAACTCACTGAGTTCATGTTAAACACTCTCTGTTTATGTACTTTTCCTTCATTAAAGCCTGTCACTGAGCAGCAATCACAGTGGAGCTGGTTGTCACGGTGACGACCACGTGGTTCTCAGTGCCCAGATTACTCTGCTGCTGACCCCCTCACCCTTCTCTTCTCACCCTCTGTTTCTCTTTTTTCCCTTTGTTCTGTTTCAACTTCCTCCTCTCCATCTCTTCCTCTCTCCACTTTCTTCCATCTGTTGTCCCTCTTCTCTCTCCCTCATCATTATTTTTATTCTTGTCTCCTACTTCTTCCTTTCTTCTTATTTTATTTATTCATCCCTCTTTCCTCCTTTCCTTTTTTCTGTCCTTGTTCTTTTTCTCTCTTAATTTCTTTCCTGCAACGTTTTCTCCCTCTGACTCTCTTTTAGTCCTCTCATTCCTTATTCTCTGTTTTTCCTTCCTTTCTTCCTTCCCTGTTCTTCCCTCCTCTCATCCATCCTTTCTCCTGCTTTATTCTTTATCTCATTCCAGTTTTCATTGGATT